AAAGGCCAAGAGTTACATAGTCAATTAGCCCTTCCGTTCGGTGTCGACACCTATATTGTGTCGACACCATGTCCGTGTCGGAGATTGGAGCTCAGTTCTTCCGTTTGATGTCGACACCGTAATAAAGTGTCGACACCACGACTGTGTCGGGTTTCACAGTGCTCAACCCTTCCAGAATACCATAACCTCCCTTGTTGATATTTTTGGCTTTGGGTTTCCTTAGTTGCTTTTCTGGTACCTTCCAACTGTTTGCAGCATACTGTGGTGGCTCCTATCCCTCTGCTCATATTTCTACCTGATGGTTGTATATTCTTTGTTTTTCCTTCTACCTACACAGTTAAGCTGTAGACAACTTGCCGGATCCTGTAGCCAATCAGATAGTGAGAATAAGCAACCTCCTCTTATATCTTTCAACCAGTTGAAGGACTTAAGTTGCACCAGCTCTAGCATTTTTCTTCTGTCTGTTTCCTTTCTTTTGAATACCCTCCCGTTTCTTGTTAGCCATATTATCCATATTGTGGCAAACCATATGCACTCCCATCCTTCCTTTTCCTTCTCTGTTTTCACCATGTTGCCATGCTGTTCAAACACCTTCCAGCAGTCATTGTCGAGTACTGTCTTGATACCCCACCATTTATAACAGGCATTCCACAATTTACAAGATACTTCACAGTGAATAAAGATGTGGCTGGTATCCTCATATGTCCTCCCACAAAGGTCACACTTACACTTCTTAATCTCTTTTATAATACCTCTTTTGAACAGGTTTACCTTTGTTGGAATTTTATCCTGAAGCATTTGCCATGAGAATGCTGAGATTTTTCTGGGGATTGATGTGTTCCATATTTTCTGCATTTTTGAATTCTGCTGCTCACTGCCTTGTTCTCCCGTAAGTCTTTGGTAGGCTGAACATGTTGAATAATTCCCGTCCTTGCTATGTATCCACCTCCATACATCTGGTTTTCCTCTTTCTATTTTGATTTCTTGAATCAGCCTTTGAAGTTCCAATTCTTGCTGCATTTCCCAGCTGTGCAAGCTTCTCCTCCACGTTAGTTTCCACACCCATGATGCATTTTGCCACCCTCCCATTTGATTTATGCTGTTGTTCTTTCCTGTAGACAATGTGTAAAGTCTTGGAAACTTGTTAGCAAGACTCTCTCCCTCACCCCACTCATCCCACCAAAACTTACTCCTGCCCCTTCCCCTACATTTATTTTCAGACCATTAGTAAGCCATCCCCTGTTATCACCAATTACCTGATTCACTCTACAGATATCCCTCCACCAAGTTGATCCAAATTGTATTCCCCCCCTCAGCATGTTATAGGTTGATTCCCCTACCCTTCCATACTTCTCACAAATGACAGTTTTCCATAATCCTTTTCCTTCTGACATTAGTCTCCCCCACCATTTTCCTAATAACACCACATTAAACTTCCTCAAGTCCTTAACCCCCAATCCACCATTCTCTTTTCCTTTACAGACTTGCCCCCAATTAACCCAATTAACCCTCTTCCCTCCCTCAGACCCTCCCCACAAAAATCTTCTACGAATTTTATCAATTAAAAGAATCATACCTTTCGGGACTAGGTATAGTGACATCCAAAACACAGGGAGGCTGGACAGTACTGAGTTAATAAGAGTTATCCGACCACCAAGAGAAAGAAACCGACCCTTCCAAGTGTGAAGCTTCTTGTTGAAGGTTTCCAGCAATGGTTTCCAGAAGGCTATTCTCCTCTGATTCCCCCCGATAGGGATTCCTAGATACTTAAACGGCATACTTCCTTTTTTGCAGCACAGCAGCCATGCCATTCTATCCAACCATTCCTCTTGTACACAAATTCCCATCAGTTGGCTTTTGTTAAAACTGACCTTAAGTCCAGAGACTATTTCAAATGCTCTCAGAATTCCTTTCATTGCTAGGACATTTTTCTCAGAAGCTTCTCCAAATAGGATCGTGTCATATGCAAATTGAAGATGTGACAATTTCAGACCTCTACTTCCCACTTCGACTCCCTCCAACAATCCTTTTTGAGTTGCATTGGATACCAGCCCATTTAAACCTTCTGCAATGATTAGGAATAAGAAGGGTGATAGGGGATCTCCTTGTCTAAGACCTTTTGAAACACTAAATTGCCTTGTTGGGCTACCATTGACCAGAAC